CCCCCCCGCGACGGGCCGGGAAGGGGCCACCCGCCGAGCGGTCGAGAAGGGGCCACCCGCCGAGCGGTCGAGAAGGGGCCACCCACCGAGCGCATGTTATCAAGAACCAAACAAATATCGTTCAGTGTATGGCCAACTTTAGATGGAGTTGACTAACAAATGAAATCTGAACTCCAGCTAACACTTTTTAAGCAGTTACAGAAACAATTTTTCCCCCTTTTGGAATAAAGGTTTTACATAAATGAATAAAATCGGACCATTACAAGCCCCCCATGCTATTGGTAAATGGTTTGTCTCAACCCAAATTGACACTTTTGCTGAACAGCTTGGCCTGCAAATACAAATCCCATTAGGCACTGCAAGACAGACAGCCACAGGCATGACTCCCAGAAGCAGATGCATGATGGAATTTGTAGTTTCACCACAACTGGAGGGCCAGAGCTTGCCTATCCCTGATCTAAGGAGTCCCCGAATATCTTTGTGGATCATCAAAGGATTTATTTCCCTACTGCAGCAAATTGGACCACACTTCATAAGTGCTTTTTAATTTATTTTTTGCTTTACATTCCTCTGGATCAGCTGGGGATTTAAGGCTCCCAAAGAAACGGGGAGATATGAAGAGGAGATATACAAGCTACCATGAGTAGGAGAGAATTCTGCTTACAGGAAATATTTGAAAATCAAAAAATATTTTTTTTCTTCTTGTTTGTGGAAGAAGTTATAAAAAACCTGATCATGATCACCTTATCAGAGCAATAAACTGGCAGAAATGATAGTAAACCATCAGTTGAAATCTCATCCAGTGCAGCCCAGGAATGGAAGAGATACAGCCGACTACCAACAGATCTAGAATCCTTTCACCACCTGCCTAGGAACCCTTTGCAGTAATAACCCCAGTTAGGTTTCTTTGAAAGTAATAAGAAACATGAGAGGGAAGGAACCCTCAAGCTAACAGAAGAGTGGCAGCTAGATCCAAAAATGCGGTTCTGTCACTGGGAGATAATTAAATGTGCTGGCATAAACATGACAAAAATCGTTCAGCTTGGCAGTAAAACACAGCACATGGTTCAGTACGACTTTCACAAATAAAGATTGAAACACCGGGTGCTGGCAGAAAAGGTAACGTGAAAATAAACTTCCGTTCAAAACACACAAAGCTCTCCATTATTCTCATTGCAGTATGTTATTATCGGATTAAGCTCCTTCCACGTAGGGGGTAGAATGAATATCATACAATTCTAGGCATCAGCCAGAAAAGGATTCCACATCCGGTATATTGGAACATCTCAGTCCTTCAGAATGGTTATCAAGTCACGGTTTGAGAATACCCAAGAGATTGTTCACACGATGTCCAGACCAGAACAGTCAGTTCCTGGACCAAAGATGCATCCCAATGTATCCCCATGTGATTTCTGGGCTACAGTTAACACCTATGCAGTGCTTTCCATTCCAGACCGAAAAAAAAAATACTGCAGGTCTTATTTTTTTCTGGTCTGGAACGCACCGGAACGTGCAAAATGCACTGGACTGCACCTGGAAGCTCATTTTGAGCAAAAAGAAAACCCCCGGAACTTGGGTAAATCGCGGTAAAAATGCACTGCACTGCATTTGCAGACCTGTTCCAGAAGACATGGTGTGAACATAGCCTAAAAATAGAGAAGATCCCTCACGCTAACAGAATATCGATCAGTTTTGCTGGCCCCTATGAACAAGGTAACTGTCCTGAGCGTGCCTCCTAAAAATCTTCCTAGGTAGGTATTGACATTTTTTACAAAACAGGAAGGATAAGCTCACGTAAGCTCTACCCATGTGTACTACTGACTGTAAAAGGATGACTTACAAAAAGAATACCATAAAAATAAGAGTGGCTGTCCAACAAATCCCTATAATTATTCCAGCAATGTTCAATAGACAAACAGGGAACTTTTACAAACTGGAGATAAACAGACCATCCTGCTACAAATAACATGTCAGATTGTATGCCTTTCTCTCATCTCTTATGAGAAACAGATACACGATACGGTCTGTGGAAGATGAAACTGTTGCTTTAGCAACCAAATCAGCCCCTACACTGTTCAATACACTTTCATGAAGGAGCACAGATCTATAAAATCAGTGGTGATCAAAAACAAAAGCCATTATTATGTATGCTTTGAGACCAAACATATATGAACACCATCCCTCCAAATTATTGCGTTCGGGTGTTTCTAGTGAGTGGCAGTGTTAATCCTAGAGCATAAAGCCTGTGACACACTGCCCGCTAAGCGGATGCGAAGCAAAGGGAAGTGGTGGCGCGCATATGTTCGCATGCAGTGTGTCTAGCAATTTTCACTCCGGCGGGTCACCTTGGAAGAGCTTGCATAGCTGAGCGTGCCGAGATGAAAAATGTCATCCTCAGCCAATCGGTCAGGATGAGAAGTACATTGAGTTGTTATGCGTGAGCCGATTGGCTGAAGATGAAGTCTTTCATTTGGCCACGCTCAGCTACTCAAGCTCTCACACTGCATGCCAACGTCTGCACCTCACGGCTTCGCATGCAGTGAGTCAAAGGGCTTTAAAGACATTTTAGACCAGGGGTAGGCAACCTTGGCTCTCCAGCTGTCCTGAAACTACAAATCCCATGAGGCATTGCAAGCAATAGGCATGACTCCCAGAGGAAGAAGCATGATGGGTCAGGGCTTGAAGCATTTTAGGGTGTCTCACCAGTCAGTCAAAAATGTCACCAGTCAGCATGGCCAGTCTATAGCCTTGCAATTTATGTTAACATTTTTTGGGGACAAATAGAGCTTTCTTTTGGAGGTAGATCAAATCACCACAGGGGGCGGGGGGGTTATTTTTTTACAACACAAAGTTTCCCTAAGTTATGTTATAAAACATCTATTCTTACCCATATTTTTGGTAAAACATAAAAGACGGGGTCAAGTTGGGTAAATAGACACCAAACATGTCAAGCCTTAAAATTGCGTGCGCCCGCAAAATCGCAATAAACTACCACACTGAAAATTGGCCATAGGCGACGCATTAAACGCTTTTACCGCTCATCAGTTAACTGTTATCAGTAATTAACGGCTCAAATGATTGCTCACACTCAGACGTTCGCGGTTATATGTAGCATGTGCGGCACAATAGGCGCACCCGACGCATATTTGCATGTGTATGTGGGGGCGGAGGACTTAAAAAAAAAAAAAAAAATTTTATGCTTTTTTTTTTAATGATTTTTTAATTTTTGTATTACTTTTTTTTTTACACAACTTTATTGCTATCACATGGGGGAGCTAAGAAGCCCCCTATGTGAAAGCCAATGTACATGACAGGTCCTCTTTATGGAGACATCAGGGGTCTCCAAGACCCTTAATGTCACCTAGCGACCCCCAGAGAAGCTGATGAAGCAGAGATCTGCTTCATTAGCTTCTGTAGCTGGAAAGTGACACTGAATGCAGGAAGTGATGTAATATACATCACTTCCTGCATTCCGGGACTGGAGAGTAGATCAAAGGGAGATCATGTACTGATCTTGTACTGAGCTCCTGTCACAGAGCCATGCCGGTTCCGGCGCATCGGGCACAGCGGATCTTGGGACCGGCAATGGCAGTGACAGCTGCTGGTAATACAAGCGAGCGGGCGTATTGAGACGCTCAATCGCTTGAATGTAAACAACGGCCGGCCGGGAAGCTGCTTGTCGGGCTCCACCGCTCTGACGAGAGGACGAGTGGATTTTCCAAGCCCTGATGATGGTATTTGTAGTTTCAGCACAGCTGGAGAGCCAAGGTTGCCTACCCCAGTTTTAGACAATTTTGCCCTTTCAACCTTGTGGAAGCAATTTGGGGAAGAACGTTTTCAGTGTAAACATTATTAAGCCCCTGTGCACAAAGCCAGCTCTAATAATATATGGTTTGATGTGGAGTTTTGGCTGCATTGGCATACATTACACAAACAAACTTCAAAATCTTGTAGAAACCATCTAAAAAAGGTTGTAATAGTTACAAAAAAAAAAAAGGTGGGGGGGGGTCGGTTGCATTTGGAATGTGATGGCCAGATGTCTACAAAAACTGTCAGCCATATAGTCTAATATACATCATAATGAAGTTAAATAGAGAAACCATTCATATTTTCTGACCGGTGAAAGAGATCAGTATCTGCCATTTGCAGATTGGGCCAAAGGCGTCAATCAGCTTGAGAGTCAATTAAACACTTTGCTGTAATTTCAGCATATACAAAGAGCTATTGGATACACACTCAAGTGCTTTTAAAAAGCAGAGAACTCCTCATGGACACCAACTCTAAAAGAGTAGAAACTGCTGGCTTATGTAAAGACAAATATATGACTGACAGTAACGACCTGGATCTAAAAGTAAGCCAAGGCATGCCTCTTGCATGCTAAACAGGAAAGACTACAAACTGGTAAAGAGGAGAAAAAGACCGTAAACATTTCATTCCCAGGGAGAAAACCCAATAGCCTAGAGGCAGAGAGCTCCGAGACACCAGAATTCTCCTTGACAATCATGCTCAAAAGGTTAACAAGCGAATACTAAATAATGTAACGGGAAACTTTAAAGGGACAGGCAGGTCTTTAGAAAAAGCAGAGGAAATACCCAATCAATACAAATAATGAGCAGATAAGCAGCGATATTGATTTCATACGTAACCCTGGAGCATGGAAAGACTAAAATATTGTCCATCAGTCTCTTACCTGAGCTCTTTGAACAGGTCAATACTTTGATGAGTCATTAGGTTGTTCAGAAGCCATTCAAGGCACCTGCGATAAGGGAGAAAGCTGGTGAAATGGCTGGCTATTAAAATACTACATAAATCTGTACATTTCCAATAATGGTTAAATAATATGAAGTTATGTATCATACGACAAGCAGGAAGACCGCTTCATTTTCTAGCTGCCAGTCTTCCGGGGACATGCACACCGGAATCTCAATAAGACCTGTGGGTGGTATTGACTTTCAAAATTACTCAGAAGCTGAATGGGCAGCAGATAACAATAGCAGTCACCCTGTAATATAAATCAAAGCACACTAGTTTTTATTTCTGATTGCACAAGCCAGATAAATAATATTATACAGGACTTGTATAGAGCCAACAGTTTATGCAGCGCTTTACAGAATAAAGGGAGACAGTACAGTTACAATACAGGAAGGTCCTGCTCATGAGATCGTACTATATATATATATATATATATATACACATATATATACATATACACATACATACATGGGTCATTCTAGCATTTCTTTAGCATAACACGGCAGCTTACAGGAAAAAAAAAAGGCTATAGAGCAACATGATATAAAAGGCCAAATCTGTGAGCAATAATGTTCAGGGGTGTATATAAAACTGGAAACATTTATAAACGTTAAAAATATTAGCAGCCAAACCCTCCTAACTCAGAAGCAAACTCCTTCCAATGATGACCGATCAGGTGCGGCCGGGGCAGGTTCAGGTCGGCATGCAACTACGTGCTGCCACTGTCCTCCCACTGGGAGTTCCACGTGGTTGCATGCAATTACACACAGCACCTTTCCTTCTCTGGAGCAGATATCTGCATGAACGTTCAAGCCCTTAGCCCAGAGTTCAAAATTTCCACTCGCCTGCTCCATTTTGCGAGTGGAACTGAAGTGAGGACGAGTGGAAATTCAGCCGGTGTATTAGGGCTCACACTCTCTCTGCCTCATGCTGCCCCGCCGACAGACACGTCCACACCACTGCTGGAAGCGCCGTGTCCCTGTTTGCTTTGGATATCCCAGTGAAGTCGCAAACTAACAGTTCAGATGCCGGCGATGATGAGAAGCACTGAGCGGGGGGAGGGGGGAGTGTAGGCGAGTGGCTGTGTGTACAATGTGTTATCTCAAACTAAAGTTTACATGCAAGTGCTGCGCTTCCAGAGAACTAAGAGATAAGAGACAGAAAAGTCCAATCATCAACAAAAATGTGAAGAAAAACTGGGATCACAGCAAACACAGAATGTGATAAATATGATATTTTCTGCACAAAGGTACAATGTTCCATGGAGATATAGCTTATCGTGTTAACCCCTTCATGACTGAGGCCTTTTTTTCATTTTTTGTACCCATGTTATATTCCACATTTTAGGCCTGAAAACTGTGTACAAACCCCGCCCCCAAGTCAATATGCTACGTGAAGAGACTATATATTGCTTAGTAAAAGAAAAAGTCAGAGGTTTCCACCACTCCTTCGCAGCCGCTGAGAAGTTATATCTTCACAGAACATTGTGCTTTTATGGAGGAAATTATCATATTTATTACATTGTGTGTTTGATGTTATCACAGTTTTTCTTATTTTCACATTATTGTTGGTGATTGGATTTACAGATTTTTGTTTAGTAGTGTAGCACAGCACTTGTATTTAGGTTTTGGTTTGAGATAACACAAGGTGTAGTGCTCACATTAAATAAACACATATTTAAATAATAGTATTCATCATTAAGTAAATATTAGTAATTAAATAATATTAATTATTTAATAATTAATGAAATAGTAAAATGAATGGGTTGCAGGGTCCTGAGTCTATTACATTGGAGGGTCCCGAGTCTTATCGCGTTGGAGGGTTCTGATTTTTATTGCTCGCTATTTTCCTTTATGTTTACATTACGTTACGTTAATATTTATTTTTGTAACTTTATTCTGAAAAAAACATTTAAACAGTGTTATTTCATGAGATAATTTAGGAGGGTGTGTTTAGGGGCGGAGTTAAAGCCAGGGCAGTGTAGGGGTTAGGTGGGGCAACTGGTGGCCAGTAACTCTTAAGAACTGGCTAGTAGTTCAGAACGTGAAATTTTGAGCCCTGCCTTAGCCCATATCTTGTATTAATATCTTATGTTAAAGACAATCAATAGAAGCAATTCAGACTAACTATTTTGCAGTAATCTGATAGCCGAGATTGAGGCTGAGGCTCATACATTCAGCAACAGAAGGTCATTTGGACTCTGCAATTTGTCCAAATATGGCGTATTTTCTGAGTATGAATACACATTATATAAGCTGTATAATAGTTTAGGTGTATTTATAACAAAGTTTTGCCAGGTTTAATCAGCACAGAGATCTAGTGCTTAAAATCTTTAGAGCTGCAGGCCAGACCCTTCGGCCACGACGATACTATTTCATCCTTGACTACCATTTTACTGATGTTACTTTACATAACTCCCCACCAGCGTTTAAACTTTTTACTCACTGCACCCTTAAAAAGTATGAAAAATCTCGAGGCACCCCAGTCTAAAATATAAGGGGAGACCCCAGGCAAAAATCACTCAAAAAAGTGGGATTCCTCCCTTGCAACAAAGGCATCCCTTCAAATCAGGAGCCCCCTTTTTAAATCAGAGTTCCCCCCTTCAGAGTCTTAGCATTAGAAAATGTTGGGGCACCCCTGAGAAAGCCAGAAGGCACCTTGGTTGAGAAAGGCTGTTCTTCACTGTTCAAATCTTGAAAATGGGTTTATTTGCACTCCTACACGCAAACAATTCTGTTGCTGATGACAATGAAAAACAAGGTGTCCTCCCTGATGCTGATTTGGCTCTTAAGCATTCCTCAGGAAAACATGACTGATCGGAAGAGTGTGGGAAGGGATATGTGCCACATAGCTAGAAACAAATTTGGCATTCAAAAACATTTGGCGGCTGGCATTTCACATAGTCATCTAGAAATTGGTCTTCTGGTCTTTTGTCAGTTGAAACATATTAAAGAGATGACCGGTTTACAGAAAGACGTAGAAGATGTTTTACTTACTTTTTCTTCACAGAGTCTAACCCGTACACACCCGCCGCTGTGGAATAGCTACACACGGTTTGCACGCTGATTGTTTCCTTCATAGTTTCACCACACTGCTGAATTAAACCGTCCTAAGAGAAAGACAAACAGTGCACGGAGTTTAAAACAGCAACACTTGGCGATTCCAGTAAAACGCTGATAGAGGATTCTAGTACATGGGTTCATTGGGCAGGCACACCAGCAGAGATGGTTCATATCTAGAACATTTGAGATTCCATATCTAAAGATTCTTTGATGCCACACACTGAGTAATTACTAAACTTCTCTATTACATGCCGCTAATAATGGCATGGATTTAAATGCTTCCTGCAAGGACTACATCCTGAAACTGTGCAAGAGCTTTGCTCCTGACCGTGTGTGCAGCATGGGCCATCTACACATCGGAAATACGGCAACGCTTCCACTGAACCTTTCATTAAAAAATCAGCATGTCTATGTAATCAAATACATGCTTTAAAGCCACTATCTATAGTTCTGTACTGGTGAATTTTGGCAGATGACACACAGGCAGCTTAGATCTTCACAGGGCTCTGAAATGAAACTTATGGTAGCTGCAGGGGATGGGGAAGTCAGCACACTATTATCTTGTTAAGCTTTCCGCTGAAGAGGCAGTCTGGTTCTCTCTTAAAAGTCAGCACTTCAGCAGCAGTTGCTGATAAAGAAAAAGCGACCTTTATGAATTTATGGACTTAAAAGTGCAGCAGATTTGTTTGTCTGTCAAGGACCCGATTCATAAGAGAAAACCTTGACAGCCTGAACATATCGTCTTCTACCACTTGGCTTTAAAATCCAGACATTTATAAAGATGGACTTTTATTTGTCAGCTGCTGTGCAGGCTTTTTTTTTTTTTAAAGAATAAAGCTGAACTCCAGGCAAACACAATAAAAACCTCATACACAACAAACAATAAATGCAGTTGTGTAATTATTAAAGAGATCACATGTATTTAAAAGGCAACTGGTGTAAATACTGAATTTAACCCCTTCATGACTGAGGCCCTTTTTTCCATTTTTGCACGCAATCAATAGAGAAGCTGTCTTTTAATAAAACCCCATGCCCCCGGGTGCTGTCTGCCTTGGATACTTCTTAGGGCTTGTTCACACCAATGAACACTCTGGAACGCAGTGTATTCCAGAGCAGTAGCTGCTGGAACGCACTGCAATCGCTCGCAAAACTTCCCCCTGCGTTCTGGGGCAGATTGGGGCGTGGTGGTGCATTGAAGTCCATGGCTCGGCTTCATTGGCGTGGCAAAGCATTGCCTGCAAACACGAAAAAAAGAGCAAGCAGCATTTTTTTGCGTTTGCAGTGGAACGGAACGCAGGCAATGTTTTGCCACACGTTTGATTGCACTGCGGGTGGGGGAGTGGCTGCGGTGCCATTGACTTCCCTCCCGCCCCAGAATGAAGGGGAAAGTTTTGTGAGCGATTGTGGTTCGGTTCCAGCAGCTACAGCTCTGGAAGGGACGGCAATTGGTGTGAACAAGCCCTAAAAGTAAGGTGAGCCTGTCATCTAGTATTTGCACACTCCAAACAAACAGTAAAAACACTTTAAAACAAGCCCCCATTGACCTCTGCAGCTATAGGCAATGTGGAGAAAGTTAATTTTTAATTTTACAACAGAGGTGTAGAAATCTGTTTGTTTTTTGCTATGCAGATCTTGGCAGCCTGCCAGTCCCACTTAAATATAAACCAGGGAGTGTTAATAAGCTGTCTGAAGCCAACTGAAACCGGACTGTAGGGCTTGTTCAGACAATGTCCACTGAGCTGCATTTTTCAGAACACCATCACACATGTATGGTATGGACAGGGCACATAGAAAACAGATTTTGATGTGCCCTGTTCACACCATACATAAGCAGACATGGTGTGAACACGTAGATGGCCAGTAGATGACAATCTCCAGCACATCCCATTTAGGACACAAGCTCCTTTATGGAGAAAAGGCAAAGATGCCTCAACGGTTACAATTAAGTGCAAACTATCCCTGATATTCATTGAGGGTGTCAGACACTAGAAATCTATCTCCCTTCCGTGCAACTTGCAACAGATTCATGCAACTGTCAGCAAGTTGTATATGATTTTGCTGCAGAATTGCCACAGACCAAATTCTGTCTGCGACACAAGTTACACAGAAGGGGTCTTATTCACCTCCACATTTATCACAGATATGGCAGCCATTTTTAATGAACATATCACAGCAGTAGCCCCAGAATGTAAAATGTGGCACAGGAGGAGGGCACAGCAAGCAGTGGGCTGGTGCAATATCCAGTCTGCTATTGGCTATTGCAATATGAAATAGCCAATAGCAAGCTGGCTATTTCACCCGTCCACTACCTTGCAACTGACAGCTGTCATTCCCTGGCTGAAGTTATTTATGTGCTTAAAATACATTTATTCCCCCCAAAATAAAAAAGGTGGGGGAAAAGTCCATTTTCGGTCTGACAAATTCTGCTGCCGAAGGTGCGTTGGAATGCCATTCATTTCAATGGCACCAAACGTGCCTCCCAGCAGAAGTGTGATTGCCTGCACTGGAACGCACGGTGCGGCAATGTTGTGCATTCCAATTGCAAAGTATTGTGCATAGTTTTATTCTGAAGTAAACTTGATGTTTGTAACACTGCATTTGTGTATTTTATTTTAAATTAATGATGGTATTTCTTTTTTTATCCAATTACATGGAAAAAATAACAGATTGTGAAAATAATCATTGATTGCAGCCCTAGTACACTAGGTATTATGCTAACTATTGCTGTAAGTTGGGCATATGGTGTGAACATGATAGTAGTGCATTTTGTCTACTGCTTATATATGCACACAGCTATGATCATGTTGGCTCTGTAGGCATCATGTCTAGCACAATAGGCTTCATCTCTCAGAAAAATGAATGTAACCAATACATTCAGAATATAATATCCTTACCCACAGGATGTTCCCATTAAAATCTACATAGCCTTGATACTTCTTCAGCATCAGATTTACAAACATCATCCATTTTGCTTCATAGTATTGAGTACACACAAGAGTGCCATATCATGCTTAGCACATAAGTTCAGAGCAGACAAGTCTAAATGACAAATCTTAGCATAATGGGACGCAGACGTCATAGTCTTGGATACAAATATACAGCAGACATGTATAGTCACTAAGCCTCTGTTGATTAATAAATCCAGGCAATATTTAATTTCAACACGGCAAAGTCTCAGGAGGAAGCAAACATCATAAAGACAAACACTTACCAGCTGGAGCATGCAGGCGGCTGCTAAAATGGCTATGACGCGGCTGGGTTTTAGTAAGACATCATCTCTGTATAGAGAGCCGAATGCCACCTGCAGAGCTGCAAGAAAAGATTGAGTATGAGGACCCGGAAGACTACAGAGCAGCAACCAGAGCATATAGTACTATCTGTGCAAGAAAATTAGTCTCAAACTCAAAGGGTTAACATTTCCACAAGCCATTTAGTCACAGGACAATGGTCATACAAGTCTGAGAAAAAAGAACGATCAGACACATTCTAAAAGAAAATAAATAAATAAATGGAGGACAACAAAAGGTTTGCAAAATTAGTTTCTCCGAGCACCAAGTACATGTTGAAAGCTAGTTCATTAGTAGTTGCCATGAACTTCCCTAAGAGCTCTTTTACATGGCCGTCTGTCATACAACGTAAATTCCAGTATATTTCCATCACCAGGGGGTCTCCAACTGAAGTCAATGACTGCATGCGGGTATACACCAGACTTTTATAATGTACACATACATGTGGTTACTCAAGTCCTGTGTATACCTGCATGCAGCCATTGGCTTCTATGGGAGGTTGTACGCAGCACCTGGGGCACCCTGGCGGTGAAAATAGATCAAAATTCACATGGTACAGCCACAAGTAGCCATGCACGTGAACCGTAAATGTTTCCACTGAAACTGGCAGACTTCTGCACATAACTAGCCCTTGGAAGTGGAAGCAAATACCATTTAAAATACAATTTACAATTTTGGACAGCAATTCCTGTGATACACCCATTTTATAGTCAGTAAGATCACTCTGTTTAAAGGAATGCCTGAGGTTTATGGATATAAAATACCACAGCTGTGCTAAAGCCGTGCATTCAGTTTATCCAAAATGTAGGATTTTTCTTTGGAACTGGTCTGAGAGTTAACAAAATGTACCAACTGGTACAGACGCCCAAGCACACCTCATTAAATCTACCCCTTACTATCTTACCAGTGCTGAAGAGGTCAAAGCCACCTTGAAAAAATGTCCCATATCTGGTGATACTTTGTCCCCATATAACAATTTTGGGAAACAATTTTTACAATATATGTTAGGACCAAAGAAATTAATGTCTACAACACACCCCCAAATGATACATTCTCTGCTACCGGACCATATCAAAGAAAGGAATCCTCAGATACGTCCATCTTGCAGCTAGAACAGAGATTCCAGTCTACATAATTGGATGCAGCCCGGTATCTTCTTCAGAGAGTGCAAAAGCAGAGGTCTGAAGGGGTCTGCAAGGTGGAAGAAGAGGTGGCCCACTTGCACCCCCTGCGTTCTGAGGACTCCAAGGAGGTTAGACATTTACCCCATAAATTCAGCCATTACACAAGTAAATTTCACTCTGGATATCTGGGTAGAGGAGAGTTGGATATCTGGGTAGAGGAGAGTACGCTGGAGTAAGCCGAGGAGGAGTCTGAGGGTGCTAGCAACGGGGAAAAGTAGCATAGAATATGACTAGAAAAAACCAAACCTTCCTTAGAACCGAGGTCTGGCTGTGTGACCCCAGAGCCTTCCACCCAAACAGCTCTACGTCTGTAATCTACTATTGCGCATAAGTATTTTAAAACAAAAAACAAACTAAAAGCATTGCCCCTTGCGTAACTGATCTAAACAACGTGTGCTGTTTGCTGAGTCACAGCACGTGGCCAGCTCAGTCCGTGCCAGAAGGAAACTGGTGGGCACATGTGTGGTAGATGTGAGCCCAGCAAGTAATAGGGGTAGGCCATGCCCAGTCTATGGTGTAGATAATGTTTAATCAATAACTTTTTATTCCCTCCAAACCCTTCATCTGTTGGATTAAAGTCATCAAAGATAAACCAATGTTTGCTAAATGACATTCCAGATTAAAGTTAAGTAACATATTTAGATCAATATCTACATATTAAATACATTTGTTAAATTAGTTTTATCTATTTTTCAGCCAAAGTCCTTTATATTAGGAAGAAGATAATTTCTTGGAGAGAATGATCTTCTGATGGCATTGCACGGGAATATAAAGGACGTCTAACATCAGAACGCTAGTGCCATCTACTGGCCCATTTCAATACTGCCTAAAAACACAGAAAATGTGAAGTTATTTTCTTTGTTTCCTCTACATCAGGGGCGCCCACTGTTTTTTGTCTGGAGATCTACTTTTCAAATGACGAGCTCATTGAGATCTACCAACGAAAAAACAACGGCATTCAGGGGCGGGAGGGGGCGTGGGCTGCGCAGGCAGGCCCCTCACCCACAGTGCGATCGCCTGCATTAGTGTCTGTGTTCCAGTCCAGTGCGATCCGCAAAAATGCTGCAAGCACTATTTTTGCAGATCGCACTGGACCGGAATGCAGGCACTAATGTGCCTGCGTTCCGAGTGCGGGCGATCGCAATGTGGGCGATGCCATTGACTTCAATACAGCTCCATACCCCCTCCCGCACCTGAACGCAGGGAGTCGGCCGGCTTACATTCCAGTGTGCCCTACAGGTCCCGGAGTCCTGTCCTCCCGTGGTGCTCGTGTGGCCAACGTTGCACATGGGGTGTCCTGCACCTTTCCATCTGCAGCGTCTGACACATTCAGCCGGCAGCCGCACGAGCACCACGGGAGCATAGCCGTAGCCAGCTCCTTTTGCGCCGAGGCAAGGGAAAAAAAACAAAGTTTTTTAAAATTTATTTATTACTATTTATTTTATTTTCATTATTTATTTTACATTTTCATAATTTATTTATTTTTTTTTTACTCTTGGGGGGGCTTCGGGGAAATATTAGTGAGGGGAGAGAGGCACCGGCTGTCAGATCCTGGCCGAGCGTCTCTCTCTCTCCTCACCGCTCTGCATTAGTTAGTGACAGCGGCTCTATCCTCCGCCCTCCACCGCCGCCGGTTACTTCACTTCTTCTCGGATCCCAGCTGGGGAGAGCAGCGGGGATCCAGAGAAGCGGCGGGAGGAGAGGACATGGCGATCGACTGGTAGATCGCAATCGACCTTGTTGGCACCCCTGCTCTACATGATGAATTCTTAACCCCTTCGTGACTGACGACGTACAGTGTACTTCACTTTAAGCCTGATGAAGGGGACCCTGTGCGGCCCCGAAAGCGCTTGATTCCTTTCGAGTGAATAAAATGAAGATTCACTAAAATCTTTTGTTATTTTGTCGTTTCTGGAGTGCTGGTGACATCCATATCCAACGATTATATCTGATGCGGCGCCATCCGTAGTCATTGCGAGCACCCACATCTCCACATGGGAAGTCCGGTAAGGAGTGCTACAGGTCCTTGGACATTTGAATGAAAAAAAGGGCCTCAGTCATGAAGGGGTTAAGTCATAGAGCACATATAAAAACACACTTCAGTAAGGGGGGAAATGGGGTGCTAGTCATAATTTGAAAAAAAGGGTAGAAAGTTAAAAAAAAAGGAAGAGAAAGGGGAATATGAATAGATGGCCAGGTGTTTGTCAATGTAGAACTTTGTTTCCAAGATTCTTACCTTCTGCATCGATATTGTGATCAGGAATCTCCAGTTCTATCACATTCATGCTGGACTCTTTCCAGGAGCCACAGAACATACTGGAGAAGTATCCAGACTGCCCAAAGAAAGAGAAACCATATATTACAAACTGCTGCAATGACAACAAATGTACTCCTAAAATAAGTAAATGTTCCCTAAAGCAGTAGAAAGAGCACCTCCAGGCCAAACTAGACTAAAGGAGAAGATTTTTTATTTTTAAATGTGTTTATGTTCAAGAATTGCCATCACTTCCTGTCCTGGTGACACCCTGTCATGACACTGTGGAATAAATAGCCTGATAAAGATGTGCAGAAGGGTTCTAGAATACATAGAAAGCACAGACGCTCCTTCATTGTCCATTCACAGGCTGGGTGGGAGCGGAGTCCATGGATGCAATAAGGAGATGAGAGGTATTGAAGCCAAGTTCCAGCCTTTTCAGTCTTGCACAGTTTTACCGGCCTTTCTCCTGCACTGAAATCTTGCTCTGATTCCAATGCACACTGAACTTCTCTCAGGGTGCATTGGAACCTGAATTCATTCAGACAGAACCTGCCTCATTTCCTGGCTGGAGGATGTCCAGAATCATCTCGCTCTTTCCTTCCAAGCCCGACTGTCCCTGTCCCGCCCCTTTAATTCATTGGAATGTCGGTTCTTTCAATCATGGAGAGTCAGCCATCCCATGCGGGTGTTACCTAGAGCAGTCAGCATGCATATGCGGCCCATTCTTCCCAACATTCACCCATCAAGGCAATTTAAAATTTGCATAACCCTTCCCAAGAGTCAGTCCACTACTTGCATTGCACGTGAGGAGCACTGAGGCAGGGTGCTGTGATGCTTTTGGGAAGCTATGTGTAGCACCCTGCCCTCCTGCTCCAGCCATGATCTGCCTGCATTGCACAGAAGCCTAGTGATGACATCACTAAATCTAAAATGGGGTATTTAATGAAAAACATGAAGAGTTTATTTTAAAAAAAATCATTAGCATGTTGGAGGGAAAGGTGAGGTAAATACAGGTGAGGTAAATACAGGCAGATTAAACTTCAGCTTTGGGCTGTACACATAGGAGACACTTGCAGAATACATCAGGAAAAAAATTAATAAATTATAGGACATATAACCAAGGTTCATGCCAGCATGCCAGAGTTGCGCTCATGTAATGACATATGCGTGCCATTTGGTGCAGTAGTTGTCTGCGCCTACGCTGGCACAGTGATGAACCCCTTGTCCATGACAGCCTGGGCTCAGAGCAAGTGGGGTAACTGACACGGAGCCTCATTCAACTCAGAAGACTGACCATTTGGTGGAAGAAAGCACCAGAGAGGCAGCCAGTATTCCAGCTGAAAGTAGAGCTCTGCTTTAGAGTCCAACTCAAACCAAACCTATTTTTGTGTTGAATGGAGTGTATAGCTACTACTGTGTCAAGGTTTTAGCTGGGAAGAGCATTAAGGTGCCCATATACCCATTGATTATCGTTTGGAAATCATCCACAAAATGGTCCTATGTACGATTATAGATCAGTTGATGGGAACCCAACGATTTTTTTTCACTGTATACCTGGCCGAAATCTCCTTGATCGGTTAAGCTGGAAAACTTTCTCCGAATCGTAGGAATATATATATTCAGGCAGATTAAACTTCAGCTTTGGGCTGTACACATAGGAGACACTTGCAGAATACATCAGGAAAAAAATTAATAAATTATAGGACATTTAAC